CCCCCCCCCCCCAGATGGCACTGACTTCGTCTCTGCTCCCTTCCTGACTTTGTGACCTTGGGCAAGGTGCTAAACCTCTCTGAGCCTTGTCTCCCATCTGTAAAATGGGAGCGGGAATGCCGCCTGCCTCACTTAGTGGCCACGGAGGTTAAACATGATAATTCTGATAAAGAGCCCAACAAGCCCACAGTAAGCGCCATGGGCACGTTAAGGTGATGGGCCACAGGAAGGCCCTCCACCTCTCTCCCTCCCAGAAGCCACCTGTACCCATCCCCCCAACCCCTCCCTGCCCAGGGCACCTTAGGACGAGGCTGCCAGGCAAAGAGGAGCATGGCCGACACACGGCTGAATTTGGCCTATGCGTCGGGCGGCTGAGTCACGTCCCCAAATTGTATCTTCGTAAGTGCGTTTCGGAAGGTCGTTTGCAACACCCCCACCCCCTCCAGGCTCCGTCTGCCAGGCCACTCGCCTCTCCTGCCCGTGCCCCCGAGCCCTGGGTGAGGACCCCCTGCACTTTCAGGAGGGATGGTAGGAGCGATGCCTGGGGTTTCCTCACCTCCTGGGAGAGAGCAGGGTCTGCGATCGCTGTGTGTCTCCTGGTGACAGGCTCCCGGCCCCACCTGCCAGCTGATGGCCCTTCAGGTGGCGAGCAGGGGCCCTCGCCCGGGAGTAGCAAGGCCCCTGAGTGTTCGTGAAGGTGGAGAGAGAGATCCGGGGCCAAGGTCAGCCTTATAAGCCGTGAAGTACGGGGCGTGCAGGAGACCAGCTCATATAAACCGTGAAGTGCTAAGCCCGTGTGAGGCCAGGACTTCTAAACCAACGTGTCAGGCCACAGGTGGCCACGGCCTGGTTGAGGTAATGGATGGAGGGGCGAGGGAAGGGACATGTTCTCATACTCATGAGGTCGCTCTGCCACGAAAGGAAGGTTTCTTGTGCCCCTACTGTGCGCGGGCACCAGCATCTGGGGACATGCGGTGAGTGGGACAGACACTGTGTGGGGGGTGCCCGACAAGGTGTCGCCTTGGCATGTCTTTTTTTTTTTTTTTAAATTTTTTTTTTTTTCAACGTTTATTTTATTTTTGGGACAGAGAGAGACAGAGCATGAACGGGGGAGGGGCAGAGAGAGAGGGAGACACAGAATCGGAAACAGGCTCCAGGCTCTGAGCCATCAGCCCAAAGCCTGACGCGGGGCTCGAACTCACGGACCGCGAGATCGTGACCTGGCCGAAGTCGGACGCTTAACCGACTGCGCCACCCAGGCGCCCCAATTGGCATGTCTTTATGTGACAGTTTCCGTGTCTGTCACCCCCCCTCCCCCCTCCACCACCAGAGTGTGGTTGCAGGGCCGCAGAGGCATCCTGTCTGTGCGCACAGCCCTCTCTCCCGGGCCTGGTCCACAGGGGCCCGCCGTGCATGCCAGGCTGGCCTTTTCAAAGGGGGTCAGCACTTGGCCGCTGCCTGTCGCTGCCCCGCTTATTCCTGCTGAGAGAATCTTACAGAGCAGCCCGGTCCAGGATCTGCCCTAGAAGGACATGGCCCCTTCACGGCACAGCGCCTCAGTTTCCCCACCGGTAAAACTGGCCAAATCCCAGCACCCCTTCTTGGGGGGTATTGTCAAGGATCAAGGAGCAAATTTGTGTGAAGGACATAGCCTGGCGTGTTGTAGACGTTCGCTAAACATCAGCTCGTAGTGGCAACGGGGGGTACACAGGAGGGAGGGAGAGATGGTGGGTTGGGGTGGGACAGGGGAGGGTCTAGCAAGTTGGGACCCAGAAGGTGAGACTCCAGGCAGCCTCCTCTTGTATGGGTCACTGTCCTCAAGGTCTTCGCTCTCGAACATGATCCCAGAGGACACTGCCCTACGCAAGGGCAGAATCCCAGGATGTTGGGGCGGTCAGACAGTCTGCTCTCTGGTGGCCTGGTGGGGAAACTGAGGCTGACCCGGGGTCACAGGGCCAGGCTGAGCACATCTCACAAGGCCCTACAGAATCAACTCTGGGATCTTAGAGGTAAATACCGGGTTGCCACGTTGGTCCCGGAGTCTCTTTGGAGATCACAAACCTCCTTCCACGCAGGCAGGAGGGGGCTGGGGGGTCTCTGTAGCCACAGCCACGGTCCTCGTGTCCCCACACTGATACCCCATGCTTGCGTGCATTCAGGCCTTCGGACAGCTCTAGGGGAGGAATTGGAGGCCCAGCAGGGTGAGCTTGACTTGCCCGAGAACCTGAAGGTCAGAAGGAGACGAGCCCAGGTTGGAACCACCTCCTGACCACACACACGGCCTCTGGTCCTCCCAGGCAAACCTGCCAGCACATTCTGTCTCCAGACATTCCCAAGTGTTTACTGAGTGTCAGCTGAGTGCTCGGCATTGTTCTAGGTACTTGGAGACAGAAAACCAGTGGGCAAAGGTTCAATAAGAGGGTGTTCCAGGCAGAGGGCCCAGCAGGTGCAAAGGCCCCAGGCTGGACCAGGCTGGTCAGGATCTGGTGATGGGGATGCTTATGTGGCTGGAAGAGAATGACTCTGGAAGAGTGAGAGGGTTGAGGTGGGTAGGAGCCAGACCACAGAGGGCCTCCTGGCCACAGTGAGGTCTTTGGTTTTTGTGCAGCAGCACTGGGGAGCCATGGGAGGGTTTTGAGCAGGAGAGGAATGTAGGCTGACTTGGGTGTTTCTTGGATGGCCAGCCCACGTGTCAGTCACGTGTCTGGGTTCAGGGCTTCCTGAGCCTCAGAATGTCTTGGGGTGGTGACAGGGGTCCCTGCCCTCTGGTCGGTTGGCAAGGCCCTTCCCTGACTGTGTCCCTCATGCCCCTCAGGTCGGCACAGGAGCCCGGTCACTGAGCCATGCTGGGCCCCGGGTGGCCTACAGCGAGCCCAACCCCGGCACCCACATAGTCATGAACAGCCACAGCCACAATGGCTGTGGGGGGCGGCCGCTGGGCAGCGGGCTGGGTGCCCTGGGCAGAGACCCTTCGGAGCCCGAGGCCGGCCACCCCCCCCAGCCCCCACATGGCCCGGGCCTCCAGGTGGTGGTGGCCAAGAGCGAGCCAGCCCGGCCCTCACCCGGCAGTCCCCGGGGGCAGCCCCAGGACCAAGAAGAGGAGGAAGACGATGAAGAGGATGAGGCAGGCAGGAGGAGGGACTTGGGGAAGACCCCAAACGTGGGCCACCGCCTGGGCCACCGGCGGGCGCTCTTCGAGAAGCGGAAGCGCCTCAGCGACTACGCCCTCATCTTCGGCATGTTTGGCATTGTCGTCATGGTGACCGAGACGGAGCTGTCCTGGGGGGTCTACACCAAGGTAGGCATGGCCTTTCCCCTTGGCCCAGGGAGGGCCCTGTGGACCTACTTGGCTCCTCACTGCCCCTGGGGCGTGGGGTCAGGGACCATATTGGCCCCAGGAGGAGCAGGTGGAAGATGCTGGAGGAGGGGAGGGGGCGGGG